TTATTTGCTAGCAAATCTCATTACAAACTGCAAATTTGAAATTAGAGGAAAAAATGAAGTAATTAAAATAACTTGGCCAGCACTGCAGCGAATTTCGAAAGTAACGTAAAAATATTATATGAAATTTCTCAACCCACCTAACAAGTAAGAAAAAATGCAATTTCTGTTCATAATAAACTTCCCTTTATTAAGTTATATAATATTTTGAGCTGTTTTATAATTGTTAGGATGTGTGAGAAAATAAATAAAATAAAGTTAATTGCGCTGATCAATGATTTAGATTTATTGAAGTATTTGAAATATTTATGCAATGTTATACATATATTATTAAAATATAAGGCGTCTTGATAAAAATTTATGCCTACTCTGAAATTATAAATCTGAGAATAGCAATTAAAATAAAATCAATTATATATAAATTGATAATAAATTCTTAAATGACTATGTAATAACTTTTATATATTTTTTAAATCCTCCACTCCTCTAAAATATCAAAATCATTTGATAATCTTGAAAAATATATTAGTACACATTGCACAGAATGTTAAACAATCGCGCGACATTTAAAATTACTAAAAGTAATTAAGAATATTTGACTTTTGATAATTTTTGGAATATAGCTAATACCTGGCTTTCACATGTAATTTGTGTCTCGTAAATTACGCTTCAATTTAATTCTCTTTCTTTATAAAGTTGATATTAAAGAATATTAACTAAATTGTGATTTGTTATTCATTTCAATGTTTAATGAGCCATACACTTTGCTATTTTTGTTATCAATGTATCGCATTTTAATCATATATTTATTTTTTATTTTATGGATTTGTCACTAAGAAATAGCTATATATTTTTATGGCTTTTCATTTGTTAAAGAATGACAAAATTTTTCTCTCTCTTTCTCTCGGGGGTGGTGATGTGATCAGTTTATATATTATCCATTTTTACGAAATAGTTGACGAGAATTTAAGTAACAATTTATTTATTTCATTGATTCACTAAAAATTAAGTGTATAAAACACTTCAGAAAAAAAACCGAAAAAGAAAGCCAAAAGACTTTGTATTGTTTAATTGGAATATATTGCCATTTCGTTATATACTCAGCATTATCTTACTCGTTCGGCATTTTCTATGTTTATACTATTTTTATATTGTTTTCAATAGTATTATTTTGATTCAGATGGGAAAAAATAATACTACCGAAAAAAAAAACACTGAATGGAATTTTGATAATAATAGAAATTCAAAAGGCACAATGTTAGGAAAATATTACCATTATTATCATCTTTACTTATTTATATCTAAACCCAATCAATTCTAACTAAACGAACTTAACAAATTTTGATAAAAAAGTGTATCTTGTTTAAAAAACAAACAGTAAAATCAATTGTTTGGTAATAAAGATGCAATTATGTTTATTAAATACTTTCATCTCTTTTAAAAATGATAAACGGCAGCATGCGATTGCTTTAAATGAAAATAAGAACAAAAAAAAATTACAGAAATCATTCAAAAAATCAATATAATAACTTTCATCGTTTGAATTTTAAAAACTAGCTCTAAATTTTTAAAGCAACTCCTTTTTTATTTATATATGGTATTTTTTGAGAAAAAACTTGATAAGGATAATATTTTTATTAACTTGGACGTTTATTTATTCACAATATTTTCCCCTTCCGTTTGCTATGTTTAGCAGTTAAAGTTAAAAAATATTTTTATCTTCTATATTCATAAATAATTATAAAAATCTTTTGCGGTTACTCTCTTTTTATAACCCTTAGATACAATCGTTGTTATTTTTTTCTTTTTATTGTTAGATGGAAACAACGCAAATAAAGCAAACCTTTAATAGTTTCTCGAACAGAAAATTTTATTTAATCTTGGATATTTTAAATTAAAAAAAAGGTTGAATTATTTAAATCTAAAAATTTAAGTTTGCTATGAAATTTAGTAAAGTAATATTTGAATTTATTTTTACAAAATATTTCGTAATTTTTTTTTTCAAACTGTTAGAATAATTTGCATGATATTGAAATATCGTCTGCATTGAATTAAACTTTATTCGAGATTCGTTACCGGATAACATAATTATAAATGCTGGTTCTTCGTGTTTATTGGCAACATTCAGAAGATTCTGAATTGGAATAACTTTATTTTTGTTTCAAATTGGATATTATAAAATAGGTATAACTTTAAATGAAATCAGAATGCATTTAAATTAATGCAAATTCGATAAGTATTATGTGCAGGCTATATAATATTTAAAAATAAAACTTTATTGCTTAGAGACTAGTGAAACTTAAGTAGAATATTTAAAATTATATTTAGAGAAACGAATAATTTTAAATTTTATTAATATTAATCGATCGTTTTTACAGATTTCATGAAATAATTAGATTCTCGGAAATAGCAGTTGAAGTTATTTAGAAAATCTATGGAAACCTTCCAAAACATGAGTAAGGTAATCTTTTACACTCTATTTTTATTTAATTTACACTCTATTTTAATTTTAGACTCTATTTTAATTTTACTCTATCTAATTATAATTAAGAATTTTATTTCAGAAAGCATGCAGAAATATGAAACTTTTCAACACGTATTTATTTATCAAGTCGTGCTGCTTTATTGGATTTGATTTAAAAATAAATTAAAAGTAACTTCCAAAATCTACTGAGAAGTTTTAAAGAATATTATAAAGTACGAATATGCTGAATTATTCTAGATTTTCAGAATAGATATTGAAAATGATCCTTCCCCTCAAATTATAAAACACTATTTTATAAAATTAACAAGTAAATATCAGAAAAATTGCCGAAAACTTTATTTTTATTGTGACCTTAATTTCTGTAATATCTCCAACACTACTGATGGAAAATGCCCGATTTTGAATGCTATTTCATAAATACCCTAAAAAACTTAAAAGAATTTGAGAATGAATAAAAATTGTTCACAGAAAATTTACACCAATTAAAATATAATTTGAAAGTTGCTTACTTTTATGCAAGAACACTTAGAGGAAAAAGAACACTGTAGTGACGTGAATGGTTAGTTCAGTTTATTTAAATTCATTTTCAATTCAGAACCTATTTTCATGCACTTTTTAAAAATAAATTTTGCTTTACTTACTTACTAGCAATTGTTATAAAATTAAGCTAAAATGGCGCTATCTTAAATTTAGACTTATAAAGCGTGATTTTTTGCCTATGGTATTCTTGTACACGATAAAGAAATAGAATCTAATATATCTTCTTCATAATGTTTAGAATGTTTTGATAATGCCAGAATCTTAATAACATTACAATGAAGAATTTATTTAGAGATATTAATAAAATTAATGTTTTATATAAAATGGTATACTATATATATTTTTTCATTTGAAAGTATTTAGTCATATTCTTTGAGATTATTACCAGTGTTATAAAATGTTGAGAAAATTATAATGATACATTTTTAGAGCAATTTTTAAAAACGCAAAATATTTTATTTTATGGTTGCTGTATTACAAAACTGTATTGAGAGAAAAAGCTAAATTAAGGGAATTTCAATATATTATATTAAATAAAATTTATCTGAATTCCTTTTTCACATTTGTTTGTCAATTATATATGTGCATTGTATGTAATATGAAGTGGACTGTAATGTTTTGATTAAACATTTATTAAACAAATCTTAATCAAACAAATTAGCAACGGGTGTCGCAACTGCAGTAAACAATGAAAAGTAGCTCATGAGAAAGCTGGCAAGTAAACTTGTTCGAAGTTATTGAGTAAAAAAGATGCTTGATTCTCGGACAGCGATGCAAAGAGGGGTAGGGGGAGCGATATGGGTAAAACGCGTAGGCGTATATTTTTCATATCTAACATATGTAGTTTATTTCATGTTAACTTTGAATGTGTGGTTTAGCTTGATCTGAAATAAATTATGTAAGCACACAATATAGTTTTCTTTAACTGATTTTAATAACTATCGCGAAATGTTTTATTAAAGCTAACGTATAGTTGTACACGTTTATTTATGCATTTTCAATCTTTTTAAGGTTATGAATAAATAGAAGTGAGGTTAGCTGTAAATAAGTTCATTAAATTTCTTTATATGTGTGATTTAAAATTGTCGAAGCTGTAATGATATGTTATGTTACTCTTTTAGAAATCTTTGAGCATGTGAAACCATATTGCCGTTAAAATCTTGATCTGAATCTTGATCTGATTCAACGTGATCGAAAGCTTCGTCTGGACTGAAATAAGCTAAGTCTGCATTTCAACCACATATTAAGATTGCGACAAATTCGAGCCATATTCTGGCTTAAGTTAGTTATATTACGGTGCAACGTTGAACGGATTTTTCTAAGAGTGTTCTAGACAAAAATGTGAGGGTACAAAGTTTCTCAGAAATTGTATTTTCATCAATTTTGTTTCAGACTCAACTATTTTTTTTAAAATTATTATCTCAGAAATTATGTTACCTGAAAATAAAATTTAAAATATATAATATCGGGGCAACAATTCGAAAATTAATTAAAAAAAATATCGATTATTTCATCAAAAATGTATTTCCTAAAATTTAAAAAAATATGTTTATTATCCCTGTTTATAGCGGGCAAGAAAAGAAAACTTGGTGCAAAACAAATGTTTTCAAAAGTTTTTGTCTCCAAATCCACCCCATGAAACAATCGTCCGAGAAGGGAATCCAATAGTATTCTCCTATTCCTTACAAACATTCGAGATGACAACAAACACCCACTTCCCATCATTCTTCGGCATCCTTCCTCTATTTTCTATGATCTCGGAGGGGGAAAAAAATCCCTAAAAGGGAGAAGAGAGAGAAAAGAGGGTAGTAAAAAATCAGAATAAGATGGCAGAAAAGAGAGAACAAAAAACACCGACGGCTAACTGGAATTATAAGCTTGGTTCGCGTGTCGATGACGTCATCATCCAACAAGTCCGCCCCTCGCGACCTGCCATTGGCGGCAACTCCACTTCGGAGGTTGATCCTTCTCACTCTCACCCCAAACATCCCCGCTCCTCAGTCTAAACCACGCGAACAACGCATCCTTGCGGGCGTAGTTTTGTTTTGGGTGTGCAGAACAACGCTGACCACGCGGTTGTTGTTGTGAAGTCTCTTCTCTGGAACGTCTTCCCAAACCGCCACGTGCGCTTGCGGTGATTTTTAGGTGGTCAGTTAAAAAGGTATGGATGTGGGTCAGGGGATGTCATCCCCGACCACTGGCATGACATCGTCTCCAAGATCATTGCAGACACCACCAAACTTAGACAATATGACACTTGGAGGTGGAGACGGTAACCCTTCTTCTAACGGGGGGATGGTGAGCCCCAAGCAACACGTCACCGGACTTTCTCAAATGGGGTCACCAGGATCATCCTTAGGTCGTAGCTCTTCCGTAAGTCCACCAGGTCCGGCATTGTCCCTAGTGACCACCAAGCCCTACCAGGCTTCATCCTCCCAACCCAACGGTGGATTGCCACCTAGTTTACCTCGATCATGCGGACAAAATCTCATGCCACACCACCAGGTGAGCCATCCACAGATGGGGCACCCACCTTTGGGGTACCACCGGTCACTTCACCCCTCTTCATCCCCACCGGGTATCGCGGCCGACATGACAACGAACGATTGTCGTCTCATAGACTACCGGGGCGCAAAGGTGGCAGCCTTTTTAGTGCATGGTGACTATTTGTTATGCTTGCCCCAGGCTTTCGAACTTTTCTTGAAGCATCTGGTGGGTGGACTACATACTGTTTACACAAAACTCAAGCGACTCGACATAACTCCTATTGTTTGCAATGTAGAGCAGGTTCGGATCCTAAGGGGTCTAGGAGCCATTCAACCTGGCGTTAATCGATGCAAATTGTTGTCTTGCAAAGATTTCGATGCTCTTTACAAAGACTGCACAACTGCCAGGTAAGATATCTTTTATCTACACATTTAACATAAATGAAAACTGCAAAACGATATTATTAGCTTTATGTTATATACCTTAATTGCTAGCGATTAATTTAAAGGGTCATTTTTCTTTTACTACAATGGAAAGTGTTTCATTTTGTATCAAATAGAAATGGTAAAGAACTACTAAAGGTGTGACGATGAAGAAAGATATAAAGACATTTAATCTTTTTTTTTATTTTTTATTCTTGAAAGCTCTTTGCATCAGATAGATTTTTTGAAGATAAAAAGCAATGAAATTTAACTTAGAAAGAAAGTTAATACATTTGTAAAATGACAAATTATTTTTTTTTTGAATAATTACTAAGAGTATAGTGATTATTGAGCCATAATTTATAGCTAACATAAGTCGTTTACTTGATTACTAATTACAACTTTTGCTCTTATAAACTTTTAAAACTGCCTTAAAACCTTTTTTTATGCTTGTTTGTAGAAACTTAAATATTATACAACAAATGTAAATAAAGAATGTTCGAAATCAAAAGGAAAAAAAAAATGTATCCGACTTAGTTATACTGAGTCGTTAAATTTAAAACAAATATATCCTACATTTTACTTAACTAGTACTCGTTAAATTTTATCAAAAATGATGGAAGAATTATGATATTGATCTATTATTGAATGAAGGAAGGTATTTTAATTAATCGAGTATATTAATAATTTAAGGGTATATATTTAATTATGAAACTGAATCATATAAGATATTTTTAAAGTAAAGTGAATGCTAAAAATTAAATAATTTACTATCTTTAAAAGTGAATTGATTTATACTATTTATTGTTTATAAGTCGTTGAAAGAAATGTCTATCGTCGAAAATAATTTAAGGTTACAACACAATATGGGGCGGACATAGTTTGTCACGATTCGCAGCAAGTATTACTTCATGTGGTACCGCAAATATAATTTTCAATTTTTTGCTTCATAATAAAGTTCACATTTAGAAAATCAGGAAATACTGTTAGTTTATAGTAAGTTTAGATTTAGTAAGTTAGATAAAAGTAATTTGATAATTTAAAAAAAATTTGCTTTTTCCTTCACTTGTTCCTTCGGGAGCTTTCTTTGAATATTGGTAATGTCAACATAAAAGAACATTTTTCTCTAAACCTACTGTAACAATAAATCTGAATTTTCAAATATGTATTCTTTATATTATATATATTAATTAAATGTGAGCTTTAGTTTAAAAGTTACGTGAGATTTAGTCAAAAAAAAATTTATCAGTAAGAATTTTATGTTTTCACAACGTTTTTTGGAAGACTTTATTAGATGCAAAATAAGTATTTTTAAAAAATATTTTAATTAAATTTTTAAATAAGTTTTTTCTAAATTGAGGAAAAGTGCATACTTATAATTAGATACATTTCAAAGCTCACCTTTTAGTCAAGTTTTTGAAAAATTTTACAAAAAATTGAAATTTTTTACAGTATATGAATGGGGCTTTATGTGTTAAGAATCATGGAAAGATGAATCAAATAGGCTTAGATTTTAGAAAGAAGCACATCTATGGAAAAAAAGTTATTATAAAGTTATTTATTAAAGTTGTCGAAATCAGAGTATAGTGAAGATCAAAAATCGCTTTCAATAAAATGCGAGTTAATTATTTTAAAATTAGACAAAAAAAATTTTTATACATCCATTTAAAGAAGATATACGTTTTTGTTACTTTTATCAAAACGATAATAAACACTTTAATCTGTGTAAAAGTTAAAACACTTTTTATGTGTTACGTTAATACTACTTTTTGTTCCTCAGTTTCTTACAAGTGCATGCTTAATTTTCACTAGAAAATTATATAATTATAGTTAAGTTTCAAGGCACTTTAATTAAATAGCTTGTTTTTAAATTTGTTAGAAAAAATAGTTATCAAAAATAATTATTATTAATAAAAGGAATTTCTTAATTTTACAGACAGTCTTATGCAATTAATTTGCTAAAAAAATGTTACAAGCCATATTATTGTTTAATATCCATAGTTTTACTGAATGAAATTTGAAAAAAAAAGAACTGATTGTTGTTTTAAAATTTGTTGACTTTTTTTTTTTATATAGATATATAAAATAACGCAAGATTAAGAAATAGAAACTGCGGTTAACTGAAAAAAAAAAGGAAGTCGATGACGGTTCGATTTGGTCCCTTAAACGCTATGTAAATTATGATTAGAAGAAAAAATTACTTATAAAACAGATTACACAAATTAGATTAATTCATAGTTGAGTCTACTCATAGATGATAAATTTTTATTAAGACGAAAGTAATTGGAAGTTATTTATGATGAGAAACACCATCTGCCAATAAACAGAACAAGAAACATCTTGAACAAATAAATCATTTGAACATTTTGATGGGTCAAAAGTAAGGTTTTCCAGAGTTATAATTTGAAATGTTTCATTTTTATTAATATTCTATCATGTTATTTTTTTTTTCAAAATTGAATAGTTATACATTGCAAAAAACATATGTTTTATGGAAAGTTAATAAAAATACGAAAACAAAGTTTCTACATATTGGAAAAATATTATCTAACTTTTTACTAATACTTTTTAATGCTTTTTTGGAACTAATTAAAAATAAAAAAAAACTTTACCTTCGAGAACTGTGATGAAATTGCTCCTTTGAAAAAACACTTAACTGTACTTCACTGCAAAAAAAAAAATATTTTTTTACCACAAAACTGATTTGACGTAGATTACTTTATATAAGCATTATATCCCAAGTTAAAATTATTATTAAATAAACGCTTAGTGAGAAAATTTTGGAATAAGGTCTCTGTTCTCAATGAACTTTGTAATTACATACATATTTATAAATGATTCATAAAAATGACAAATTTCGGAATTATAAATTGTTTTCTAGCAGTATTTTGTAATCTATTTGAAAAAAGAAATTTTTTTTACGTATTTCTTATTTACTCTTTTCTTGCGTCTGATACAATAGGTGAACCAGAATAGCTTCAACATGCTAAGCGCCGTAAAGAAAGGGTTAAGAATGGATTTTAATACTTTGATATTATGGAAAAATGACTCAAATTTTTTGTTTAAAATGTCAACAAAAAAAAAGGCTTACTTTAAGGTAAAAATTCCTCCTATGTTTCAAAGCAGAATTAATTTGATACGGAATTTTAGGCTAATACAGAAAGGAATTAATTGATAAGAGTTATTTAATAAAGAATTTGATAAGAACGAAAGAAATTTGCCGAGAAATATGACGATTAAAAGTATTAAGATTAAAGATTGACGATTAAAAGTAGAGTATTTTAAAAGTAAAGCTTGAGAAAGATGGCGAGTAAAAAAATTACAAGCGTAAATCAGAAAAAGTAACTCTCTTTTATTTCTCAGACAAAAACCTAACATATTTAAGCATTTATCAGAATGAATAATTTGAAAATCAAATACATTCAACATTTGATTGCATAAATTGGTTAATCTCAAACAGCTGAAATTTTTTTCTAATACTATTAAAAAAATAGAAGTCGACAAGCCACTAATAATGACCAGATAAAGAGAAATATTGTCAAGTTCAATCAAACAGTTTGAGAATGCTCGATTTGTTAAAATTGGAACTGTAAGAAGACAGATGTGCTATAATTTTTTCCTTAAAATTGGATTCCATATACGTTTAAGAAATTTCAAAGTTCCGAAATTCATGGGAGGAAAAAGTAATCATGAAGTATAGTAAAATCAAGTTGTAACATTTTGTGATTGTTGGCATAAAAAAAGTCAGAAGAAAAGTTTAAAAAGAAAAAAAGTAGGAATTTCGTATGATATTTCCTTAGGAAGTTTTGGTACTTTCATATTAAAACTAATAAAGAAATTACAAATAAGAGTACAGAGCTTCAAAAGTAACGAAGTGCAAGTAAAAGTACGTACGCCATTACTTTTGGTTTGTACAGGTAATAAAAGCGAAAGAACTACGAAGTAACGCGTTAAAGTAGTTGAAACTCACAGTTTCGAAAACAAATTGCTTAAAAAAAATTTTAAAAAAATTAATTTTTTTTATGTGAAAATATTTGTATACAAACTATTATCCTGATAAGATTATCTCAGTTTTTTTTTTCCTTAATAACTCTCCCTATTAGCTAATTTTTAAATTTGCTTTTAGCTGATAATTTTGCTTCTTAGCTTTAGTTTTTAATCTAATTCGCTTTCAATCAAGTCATAAATAAATTTCCTTAATGCGACATTAATTTTAAAAGTATTAGACCTTTTTTTTATTTACCATAAAATATTAACACATAAAAGTTGTCAGAAAATTTTTGTTAAATGAGCATTGGCGTTTTTGTTTCTTTGGTTAATATAAGGATATTTGAAAGTTCGTTCAGAAAATGAACTATTTTTTTAATGCATTTTGTAAAATAAACAATATTTTACTTTAAAAGTTAAAGTAAAAGACAAAAGTTCTATTCTAAAGTTTAAAAATTAAATTTATTTTAAGAGATTTTTAGGATTTTGGTATTTGAATGAAAATAATATCAATTCAGTTACGATTTCAAAATATTCTCCCTTCCTTATTTTTTTACAATATTCTTTATTTTAGCTAAAACGCTATACCACTTTCATATTATCTTTTGCTTGTAAGTAAGCAAGAAAAGCTGATATTAAATTTATTACAGTATTTTAATGAATCACGTTCGGAATGTTTCGAATTCAAAACAGATTAATTCTAAAAAACATAGGACTTGATGTAACAATATTGATAATACAAAATTATAAATTAAGATACAAAATTTGTTTGAGCTCAAAAATGCTTTAAAATTCTTTTACAAAGCTCCAAAGCTCCTTCGTTTGCTCACTTTTTTGGGATTAAATAATGATGGTATAATTTTGCATTAAGCAAATTGACTTAGAAGGTGAATTAATTTATCCTTAGTTATCTTAATTTTTATTAAACAAAATGAATAAGTTTTGGTTATTAATTTCGATTAAACAGAATGAAACTAAAATTGGTTATGTGTAGAAGC